TCGATCAGAACTCTTGTCATCTGTTTGACAAACCGCCTCACAACTTCTCTTCCCATGGCCGTATTAACTGGAGCTTTATATCTCAGGCATCGTGGGGTTAGTTCGTCTTGGAGACATCGGTGCAGAAAACGTAGCTGCTCGTGTGTTGCTGCCTCTCGTGTAGAGAATAACTCCCAGCTGCGAGCTGTCCGAAGCGCATCGCGCCCGAATGTTTCACGACTAAGGTGTTCATAAAACTCCGGCCAAAATTGAAACCAGGAAGGCATAACCCAAATCTTCGGGAGGTTATGTAAAAGTAATTGTCAAAGTTCAAAATCAAACGCCCCTCTCAGTCTTCAAACTTTTTTGCGTTTCTATCAGTTAAGGCGTTGTTAAGAATTCAGATTTCGGAAGGCACCATGAGTCGAACTTTATTTTTAGCGACATCGTTTGATCAACTTCTGGATATTTACCGGCCATTTTGTTCTTGTTATCCAAATTATTAGAAAAATGGTCGCATAAAGCTAATTTAAAAGTTGCTTTAACCATAACAGTCGAACGAAATCAAACACATACGAAGCCTAGAAGGACACAGTAGCTGAATTCTAGCTTGTCGAATTTCATTATCACGATCGCGTCCAATCTTTCTCTTTTTCTGGATAATATATCGTTGTTGGAGTTTAATGGCGCATTAATTACGGAATCATCGAGGGCAAAATACTTGACACTTATCCACGTAAAAATCTTAGACTGATCGTCAAATCATAATACAGTGTCACGTACCAGTCAGACGTACCAGATCCGTAACTCTTTAAAATGCACATTTAAGCATCCCTCGGGTATTACTCTATCCTACTGAGCATCGTAACAGGAAGAGGTAGACAAAACTAAGACATTCTCAAACACTGAGAAGTCGCCTTAAAAAGCCGACGGCTCTAATATTACCTATTCTAGGATTTCCAATCGTACCAATATCAGACCTCCGGATAAGTTTACTTCAAATCAATTCTTATTTACTTATCCAGCACTTCATTAACACACTGTGTATGAATATAAAGACCGTAAAGACAAAAACGGCCTCGATAACCCTAGAAACAAGAAAATAACGTAAAAAGAAGAAGCAATAGTTAAAAGGGGAATTTCATTTGTTTCGCGGTTCAAGCTCAAGTGTTTATAACTTAGCAGAGATAGCGGAAAAAAGAATTCTGAAAGTAATAGGTTGGTCCCGATTTTCTTACAAAAACATATTTAGCTTATTTACTCAAGAAAATTGGAAAAATGGATGTTTACTTCATAACATCAACTTTCACCTAGATAAGTAAGGTTGTTAAAGTTCAGAATCCCCTCTAAATGCCCAAATTAGGTAACGCTCTTTTAGGATTTTTCTGTTTTCATGGGGATGGCCCAATTCATTGTTAAGTTAAACTTATTCTGTAGTTTGCAGTACAATGGGCTTCTTGTAGGTCATGCTTTAGATATTGAAATACGGTCATTTTGGAAAACCAAAGGTACGGCTGACTTACTATTTAACTGCTCATTTCGTTACAACAGCTCCAGCACGATCTGTTGAATGACCGCAACGGTGTTCATAACTTACAAAGCACTGCCCAATTCCATACATGCTTGTTTACTTTGATACAAGTCTTAAAGTGAGGCAACCCATCAATCATTGGCGTTTATTTCTCGTTTCCGTATCATGCAAATAACAATAAAATTCTAAAACCTGGATAAATCGTTCGGACACGTAACAACTTCAAAGAAGGCAACATTTAGTTAATGAATAACAGATATGCATGCTTTCGAAAGTCATTCCATAACGAAGGACAAAGTCTATGAAGAGGACGAAGGTGAGGGGACAAAATAAGCTCCACAATCTAAAGTTATTCATTATCTAGTGCAGCTTGCGCTGGTATCTGTAGAGGTACCTAACCAAATGCTAGAGAGGTAAAAGCGTGAAGTGGCCTGTGACTATATTTCACAGGGACCAAGTCTGCAATCAAGCATTTCTTATATTTTTCATTTTAATTCATGTCAATTAATCCAGTTAATGGTTCTTGACTCTCGGATAGCACGACATTAATCTACCAAAAATAAGGATGACTTGTCGAAGAAGCCACTTGCTTTTATTTTGCGGACACTTTTTCCATGCAAAAAAGAGATTAACCTACGATAAACGATGATTTTTCATAAATAGTATTAGCGAAGCAAAATGTTTCAGTCAGCGTGGTTTTCAAACCTACATGTTTCCTCTAATCGAAAAGTGTAGTTTAACGACGTTTGCAAAGGAAGTAAGGTAGGACCAAATGCAGTGCCTCTGTGGCTTTTTGTGCTAAACCACAAGCTAATCTTTTGTTCTATAATTTTTGAATTTGTTTTAGTAATACCGAAAATATCAATCACAGAATATAATCAATTGATAAACCATGCTTGGCGTCGTCACATAAGGTGAAAGCAGAGTTGAAATTGACTTTATCTCTGGAAAATATGTGAACAAGAGTTCAAAAAATTTGCAGGACTCAGCGTCTCATAAATAATAATTCGAAAATTGAGGGGCAGCGTCAGGACAAAAGCGAATACACGTTACTAACTGTTGGTGCCTTTTCCTCATTGACGGGTGCATACTGCTATATTTTAATCAATGTTGGCCGGCCTCCGTGAAACGAGGACAGTCATGCCATGCCTCAGGGAAAAAAGTGGATTTTTTTGGTGCTGCCTTACCGATTAAAAAGACCGATGTTTACGTAGACAGACCGGTGCTATTTTAGATAGCAAAAGTTCGACCAGTTTCGCAACTTCTGCTTCTATTTTAAAGTGAGTGTGTTTTTTAAGACTGAAAACGTTTTTCAAGTATGAGCGAAGCAGTGGAGAGCTTACTTCCTGTTTTCCTCTCAGTACTAAATTCACATTGCGATGGGGTTTAGGAAAAACCATCAAGCGTTAACAGTTCTCTCAGTTAAATATGATAAATCAGTCTTGCCCAAACGTGTTTTCAATGCACAAAACGCTTACAAACACTATGAGCAATGAATTTAAAAACCGCGAAGTAATTTACAACTTTCCCAGGCAAAAAGTGTTGCTAACCAATCTGGGGACATTTATTGAATCTGTTAGGTGGAATAAACGCCAAAATGACAAACAGTTTCGTCGAAATACGTATATAACCCTTATTACACCTTAACCAATCTAAGGGAAGCAAAGTAACTGAAAGTTCAACTTGTGTCCTTCTGGCTAAGACATGACCAGTTGAATAACAGGAGGCGAGCACGACTTTATCTATTAATTAACTCTGCTTTACTTAAATGTTACAAAAGAAGGGTCAAATAGTCCACCTAGATGGGTGCAACTGAACAGGCCAAATTGCGCTAAAAGCTTTTCGGTAAAATAAAATACTACGATTCGATGCTTTCCCGTGCGTCTTCCAAGTCACTTCTTTATTCCTTCGAGAAATTTTAAAGTGCTATTGAGTGATTAAATTGACACTTCAGAGAACAAATGCTTCTTCTCGAGTTCTTTGTAGGCTTGTCCATTTGCATGCTACGTTTGTACCCGAAGCACTTACAACCAAAGCATAGCATAATTTCGTTTTGTGCTTTCATTCAAAACAAAAACGACTTAAGTAATTTTCCCAACTGAAGAAAATCAGCCGGAAGTGCATGTTTGTTGAGCCGCCGCCTGAATCCGATAATGAGGACTAGAGGCTTTATTCAGCACGACTAAAAGTTCATTAGCAGATAGCAACAGCGTTTCCGGTATCTAATTTTTTCAAGGTAAAAGCTGTGCGATTTGATGAAGATAAGTGAAAGAGAAATTTAAACCAAAACAATCTTCTCCTTAATTCGGTTTAATTAATTCAGTGTCACAGTACGCTGTTTGACATTTGTCGGTTTTATGAACCAAGAAATATTGTCACGTAGCGGCTCTGTCAGTGGTGTACTTAAATGTTACCAGGGGCTCACTCTAGCCCTTAAATCATTCTCGACCTTGTGCGTTCCGTGCTAAGTGGGGTTGACTGCATAACCCTGACCCACTCACACGCCATATGTGACTGTCAGCAAATAAGCGCATGGCGCACCTTCCTATTGGCAGATAATGTGAGCCAGTCAGTGCGTCGAATGACGGCATCAGCTGCGTTTGGTTCGCGCAGCGTGACCAGCACACGAACCGCCAGTCCTCACTTCAAACTCCATCGGTTCTGCTGTGTGAATGTCTTCTCAGCTTCAGGCCGCCGCGTAAGAAGTCGCGGGTGCCGTGCCTCTCCTTGCCACGCCATGGAATTCATTGTCTTAACAGTTGTCCTTCTCGCATTCAGTGTGGAATATAGTTTTTGCGAGAAACTAACACCCCTTCTCCCCGGTGACCCCTACAATGTAATCGGAGATATAGAAAGCCGTCAACTGGGGCGTTGTAACTATTCTTATGCCTGGCTCGCCATACCAATGGGTTCCAACCAGGATATCTATGCCCACGCGGCGGCCTGTGGACGACTGGAACTTCAGTTGCTGGAGTTTGAGGCGGATTCCCACTATCCTTTTCATCCGCGCGATATTAGGAGTCCACAGAATGCGCGGCCCGCATTTGCGTCAAACGTTGGTGATGAACTGGGTCGCGTAAACAAAGACTACGCAGCCCAGCTGGTCGATCTTCAGACACTGGACGCTCTCCTGCAGGGCGTCAAACTGGAACGGGGACTTCAAACGAATCCACCATTAGTGCGTGAGGACCGTCTATTCTACCTGTCCGATCGTCTTGGCCAGTTTAAAATGCTGGCGATGTTGCGGCCAGGTCGTCTCCCCAAAATAGAGGTTATCCCACCGCCTTCTCAGAAGGCCCATCTTCATCCCCGGCACGTACTTTGTTACCGGAAGCAGTGCAATGAACCACTTACCACCTCCACGACGAAACCGGAGGTGCTGAAACAAAGTGCGAATTCCACCTCCGAGTGCATAATCCACCTGGCACAGTCAAAGCAGGATAACCGACGTCTGTACACACAGGTGGTCATATTTCGCGCTGTTTTTGCCTTGGCAGCTTTCCTCTGCTTGTTATTTGCCATTGCGGCCTTGATACTCTGCTTTCGATTACGTGCAGTGACCCGACACTCTAGGAAGATCTCTCGTATTGATCCAAGCCGTGCTTACCCACCGACGCAACCTTCTCCAGCCTTTTATAACATGAACGGAAAAATGGCCCTTCAACCACATTCGCCTCTCGTTTTCGCTGAACCGGGCGGCGGCTCGATCAACGTTGCTCATATGCCCAGTGACACTGCGAGCTTGCATAACACTGCGCAGTCCAGCAATATCAGCGGCTGTGAGCTACTCAGTCCAAGTAGTCACAATGGCAGTGCTTTTACTGCCTACGCTTACGCGCAGGACGGGTCAGGAGTGGTAAGGCTGGTACAGGTGGCGGGTCCTCGAACTTCTGCAAACGGCGTTCAGAGTATGTACCTAAACAGGGCAGTCAGTCCGGCCTCCTCTAGTCAACTTGAGATGCGCCCTGCCGATGGATACAGGACGGGTTCTCTGGACAGGCGCAGTGATGCTAACTCAGACACGATGCAACGCCGTCGAACCCCGATGCAGACAATACCCTACACATCTGGGGTAGAGAGTAATTTTGGCAATCTTCAACCTCTCGCCTACATCCCGCAGACCTTTAAGGTGGCCCCCAGTAACGACCAGACAATGACTTCTCAGGGGAGTATGAGCACCGTCATACACCAGTATCCCGGCGAGGCAAATTTCCGCTTTGGTCAGACACCACGTGGGTCTGTTAGCGGGGAGGCGGCCAGTGTACCTGCTAACTGAAGCCTGCCTGCCGAAACCAGAGGGTGTGCTAGGGTTCACAGAACTACCCAGACCTTGTAAACAGGACTGACTGATAAGAAAAACTGAGTGACTCCACTCACATCCCTCTTTGCCATAAGCTCCCACCCAGTGCCTTGCGATCAGCGGCGTCTTGTTACTTTTATGCAAAAAGGAGAGCGAATTAATGAGAAAGAATTACTAGCGAACAGGACTCTTTTACTTGAATCAATCACGAAACAAAAAGTCATGCAATGAGCGCTCGGCCGATCAAACCAAATTCTCTGGTAACTTCATCTTTTAACCCACCCGCGTTTTCCATGCTTACACCCCTTGCATTTTCGGGGTAGGAAACCCTTTTTGATGCCGGTCTAAAAACTAACCGCATTCATCATTACTAACATGTCCCCCATGTAAATTTGTATGCCTCCACATCCAACTATTCTTGACCGCTTTTCCGTGTAAAAATAAACTCTGCCTTTCTATATCGGTACATACATTTCATGACAACTATACCCAGCCAAGTTTGTCCTACGGTGGTTTCAGTGAAATCTCGGGAAATTTATATGCGATGCCATATTTAGTGTGAAACTGACCAAAATATTCAACAAACCTTGGAACAGTAAAACACCCCAAGGTAGGGTCGTAGTAATGACTAGGAGGGAAGGTAATCAAAAGTTGATTTATAGTTGATGGCGTTGCGTCTTTGAGAATGACGCATTTCCACCAACGATGGCTATTCGCAATAATAGGATTCTTGATTAGTAGTGTACAACCTTTTCATTGACTTTTGGCGACTGTGTAAATGTAACTGCATTAAGTATGAAATATGGGGAAAAGCGCTGTCGCACTAACTTACTCCTTTCCAAACGTTCATGCTTTAAATAGGAGTTACGAACGGTTTCAGGACGACCGTTAATATAACAGTCACTGGTCTGGTTGCATGATTATGAGCGTAGCTTGACGTCTGCGTATTCATTACTGATTTTTACCAAGAATGTGATGCAATCTACGTCTGAAGAAATTCTTTAAGAGCACCAGAAGACATCTTAGGAGGAAAATGAAAATATATTTACGAAGTAGGTTTATAAAAAGCACATAGCGACTGCTCTAGAAACCGCAAGAACAAGCAAGAAAACGAACGAACAGACCAGAATCGGTGGCGACTTGAAAACCAAAATATGTTTTCCTTGAAGTACAAGGCTTGTAAAAGACGAGCTAAATGTACGTCACTAATAGCTTTTTACGAAGTCTACCTGAAGACGCGGTTAGGTTCATAAAGCCATCGAAAATGCATGGAAGTGCACATTTTTCCCCTATGATTTCACAGTTGGTCAGAATAATGTTCATATAGTTGTGAATATGCTAATACGTATGCATTACCTGAGGACTATACTTTGTATCAATAAACCGTCCAAAAGTTCTTAGACAAGTTACCAGTCAAAAGGCCTAGTAAAGATAACGGTCAATGTTTCGAGAGTTTCGACTCACATAGCATGGGAATTTCCGTCGCTTTTGCTCTATAGGCGAAAAATGCACTTTTCTCGGTGGCTTAGAATGAAAATTTCACTAGGCGCAATCAACGATTTTGCTAGAAAACTCGCTTATCGAATGAAATTCTAGTCTCTTCCTGTAATCTAATAGATGTCTCTATGGTCATGCCTTAGTAGCATCTATAACGTCTTATAGAATACTCGTTGATCACGAGCAGAAGACCTGCGTAACGTGACTCTCATAAGTTTGTAGTCAGTATATAGCTTTTGGGCGCAAATTCTGCCGATGCCGACCAGGCACCCTCCTTTGACATCTTTCCTGTTCAAATTGTTGCCTCGTCATTCATCAAATTTCTCCTTACGGCCACATCATTACTTACTCACACTGTTTCTTTCTATTATTTAAATTGTGTTCTGCTCGGTTGGGCTGCAGGAATAAAAAGTTGAAAATATAACCGAAGAAGGTCTTTTGGCGGCAAATTTCATTACAGGCTGTGTTGGCTGATAATGAATAAAAGTACGTGGAGCCCAAAACAATGAACCTAAGTTCAACTGGTTTTCCGAGGTGGTTAGACTACAGTGTGATATTAGATGCTAGTTCCGCCGACAGATACCTCGATTCTCTCCCCACCAACCAACTTTAACGCTGTTATCAACATGGAGACACCCCCTAATAAATAGCTGTTATGGGTCTATGGAGGCCCATCTAAGACGTCTTGCAAAACTGCATATCCGACGAGCAAACCGACGAATCCCCAAATCGGGGTGCCTTTCGACAGACTCGATCATTCTTCGTCGACCTGGTTGTGGAGCATGCAAGCGAGACACTACCAACGCTATCAGACGGCAGTGCAGATGGCGAAAATAGGGAGGTAGTAGATGAGCCCAGGAGCCATTACGTCTGCATGCCATCTAAAATTAATTTCATTTATCAGCAGAGTGCGGACTCACACTAAAGACAACCAACAGAATTCTGGGAACCTTCGGCCTGTTAAAATTTTGTTTCCTCTGTATGCAATGCTGCTGATGTTTCCTTATTCGTTAATCTCGATTTTTCCGTCAGTTTTATTTCCAGAACTAAACCATCGGTTTATTAACATCAGCGTCATTACAAATAAAATCTGGCTTATAACTGCAGTTCTGCTTGTTTCAGTAACATGTCATTAGAACCATAGTTATCACTGTCAAGAATGTCGTTGAATATTTCTGCGGTTTGTCTTACCTCGGCGTATTGTTTTGTCCCTTACGTGGTCTTGCAAGAAACTTGAATCTAAACGTGGAACAGTGTAATCTTCTGCTTCCTACTGATAGTGTTGCATGGAATAAGTGCAGTGCAAATTGGACTTTACAGAGTATTGGACCACGACCTTTAAACCAAGTTTCGCAGGTCGATATCTAATGTTAGCAAACACCAAGCTCTGGTGACAATTTTTATCAAATACCAACTCAGATAACCATGCAAAATAATACGTGCGCGGAAGAGTCGATTATCTTTGGATGTACAGCCAGCCAACCAAAAAACTGGCGATAGGCTTGCAGCATAAGTGGTTGTGAATTTGCGGGCCCAGCATTTTGTTGCTTTAAAGGTGTAAAGTAAAGAAAGTTGCCAAGCGGTTCACATTATGGACACCATGTAATAATACTCACTTAATTTCACATTGTAGGGGGAAGTGAAACACTAACACCGCAATCAAACAAACAGGAAAAAGTAGACAACAAAGTCCTTCTAATTTTTCTCCCATCAGGATGGATTTCATAGAGTACAGTCATGTAAAAGAATATTCTGTAAAAAAGTTTAAACCATTTAGGATGGTAAACAGGCTTATCTTTTTGTAAATCCAAATTCGCCTGGAGACTGAAGCCAAAAATGCAGATAACCTTGAAACTGGTATTTATTCAGCTACAATATCTCTAGGATTAAGCATTTTACTCAGTGCTCTTGTTAATTCCTATTCTGCCTAAACAGACTTCCGATAACTTCGTTAACTTTAGGCTAACCAAACTTGCATTCCTCGTAGAGTAGCGAACAATACCTGTACAAACTCGCACACCTTTTCAGGTAATAAATCTATTTACCTTTCTAACTTCAAGGACAGTGACGGAAAAAAATGCCGGTATGCTGTAAAAGACATCATAGTTAGAGAGGCCACTCAAAGTTTGCTGGAAGTTCACTTCGGCGATCGGTTTTGTAACGTGTTAACTTGCGCTGTTTTCCGTGATGAACCTAGAAAATTTTCTGGCGTTATTTAAGTATGCAGTCATAGCGTTCGCACCAGAAAATTTAATGGCCACCTGGGTGTATTGAAGTATGCACTCACGAGGTTTATTAAACTCCCAGAAGCGCAGGAACAGTGTTGACGGTTACACAGCAAAGAGCAGCCAGAAGGCCCTGGTGGCTCAAATGTCGCATTATTTGTAACATTACCTAGCAACTTATTGAAACAAATAAAAATAAAACAAAGCGACTAAATACCCCTCCTTCTAGAGTCAGCAATAGCTTTGTTTACGTTGAATCAAACATTCATAAGGCGTAGCTCGAGACCGTCTCTTGCTGTGCTGGTAACGACGGGCCTAATTCAGATAAATGGCTGAAAAGTTTGGAATACCATTTCCCCTTTGATATTCATAGAGCGCAGATGAGAGAAATAACCATATATTGCTGAATATGCGCTGTTTAATATATTTTTGAACCCCCAAAATGACTCTAAGACTACTGCGTCAATTGAAGTGAGGCATGATTGAGGTAATTAGTGACTGTCTTCTGTTCTTTGATTGGATTGCCGCGTTTAGTTACTTATGGTCCTCTTGCTCTAAGTATGATTTTACCACACTCAAAATATCATATAACGCCCGAAAACGACTCCATGGTAATCTGTTTGCCGTGCTTTTGTTGGTTTGCTTGTATATCTGATAATATACATCTGTCGTTACTCCCTTGACATTGTCCGAAATTTTGTCACGTTGGAGTTAGATATTAGGCACTGGGTCATGTGTGGGTGATATCATTAGATGTAAGGTTAAGTATTAATTTTGTGGTTTGATTTAGGAGTTTTTATTTACTCTGTGTTTGGCTCTATCATAATTATATTTTTGCTATTTAACTTTTCTCTAACTAAGGCACCTTGGTAGGCAGTTTATAGTAGAAGCAACGATGAAGCGTACATCTGTCTATTCGTTGAGATTCCTCGAGGCACACATCTTTTCCATGCCCCTAACTAAACGACCTCTTGCCCTAGCAGAAACGCTTAAGTAGCTGAGACTCGGCGAGGAAAATATTGTGTGGAAAAATATCAATCGCCATGTGATACAAAATTAGGATAAAGGGAACCCGTAAAAGGAAACTAATATTTCAACCTTGTTGGTAGCCTTTCTCATCAAAACCATCTCATATGGAAATCTTACAATTGCAGAGAGCGTTTATATAGTGAAATGTAACTATCATAAATCCCCGAAGTTTTGAGTGAACTTTAAAAAAACGTTCTAATTAGTCAAATAACGTGGGAGAAAAGG